TAAAAGATAAAATAATAATAAAATAAATAATAAATAATTTAATTTAATTTAATTAATAATTTAAATGTTTATAATGCATGCAATAAACAAACAAATGCAGCGAATCGCCAAGATCGACGCGGCGAGCGACGGAGAGAGAATTAGGGTTTAGGGTTCAGGGTTTAGGGTTTAGGGTTTAGGGTTTAGGGTTTAGGGTTTGGTGTCCATTTTTTAAGGAAATTGAGTTAATTTTAATGCTTTTCTTTGCTATTTTTATTTAATACAAACAATTATACAATTACCATCACCATACAGCTATGGTGACTCTAAACCCTAGGGTTTAGGGTTTAGGGTTTAGGGTTTAGGGTTTGTGAGCAAGATGTATATGGCTCGATATGCCTATACAGCGCAATTTTCTTCTTTCTTCCTTTTTATTGCTAAGGAAGTTAGGGGATAAAAAAGTATTAATAAAAAAAAAAAAAAGAAAATAAATAATAAATAAAAGGAAGGAAAAGAACAGAGGGGAGGAGAGAAGAGGAAGAAAAATAAAAAAAAAAAAGAAAAAAAGCCCTATTAATATAATAAAATAAAAATATAAATTAATTAATTAATTAATTGGTTAATTAATTAATATAATTTATATTATACATAATATAAATATACACGTATATATACAATATACATAGTATATATAATATATATAGTAATATATATATGTATTATATTATATATAGTATATATTATATATACTGTCCCTAAACCCTAAACCCTAAACCCTAAACCCTAAAACTTAATATCCTTTGAAGGAGGCCAAACCCTAGACCCCAAACCCTAAACCCTAAACCCTAAAAATTCCCAAGAATTTAAAAGCCAAAGATACATTGTGTGTCTGCATTCATTCCTCCCTACAAGGAAAAAAGTTGCTTCTTATCCACTGCTGCAGCAGCAGCAGCAGCAGCAGCAGCAGCAGCAGCAGCAGCAGCAGGAGCTAAGGGTTGAACCAATTAGAGATAGAAATACTATTGGTAGCTGCCTCTACATAATGCCACCATCCTTGAGGAATAAAGAGACAGTCCCCTGCATGCAGCAGCACATCTATACAATGTGTCTCCTTAATAAATAAATTATATTGCTGCTGCTGCTGCTCATATACTGCAGCAGGAAGAGCAGCAGCAGATACAAGCGAGCTAGGTAAACTAGATGTATTACGTAACAAACCCTGCAGCAACAGCAGCAACACACACGCAGCACAGCAGCAGCAGCAGCAGCAGCAGCAATTAGACCAGGGAAATATAAGCTAGACAAACCGCAGCAGCATTCTGAGCTGCAGCAACAGCGGCAGCAGCAGCAGCAGCACAGCCACCACCAACAGTAGCAGCAGCACCACCACCACCATCTACACCAGCAGCAGCAGCAGCAGCAGCAGCAGCAGCAGCAGCAGCAGCAGCAGCAGCAGCAGCAGCAGCAGCAGCAGCAGTTCTACCTCTTTAAAAGGGTACATAGCTTGTGTCTGCTGAGGGGAGAAGAGTTGCATGCGTTTGCTGCCAATTATTTGCATAAATAAGTTGCTGCTGCTGTCTGTATGCAAAGGAGACACTGTCCCCTTAGGTCCTATCCATACTAAGCGTGTTATCTCTGTTGATGCACCTGCAGCAGCAGCAGCAGCAGCAACAGCAGCAGCAGAAGCAATAGCAGCAGCAGCAGTTGTAGTAGTGGTAAGGTAGACGGAGAGCAGCAGCAGCAGCAGCAGCAGCAGCAGCAGAAGAGACAACTGCAACAAATGCAGCAGCAGTAGATATAATACTTTACTAAACAACAACAACAGCAGCAACAGCAGCAGCAGCAGCAACAGCAGCAGCAGCAGCAAGACATACAAGCAAGAGCAAGATCAGGTATAGGTGCTTCCTTAGCAAGGAAGGGAAGTTGCTCAAGAAGTGCATGCTGTGCTAAGTACCCTATGGGGCCCTCCATGGGGGCCCCCCCCTTTGCTGCAGCAGCACATAAGGCAACAGCAGCAGCAGCAGCAGCAGCACATTAGGCAACAGCAGCAGCAGCAGGATTAGTAGTAGTAGGACTAATAGTAATAGCAGCAGCAAAAATATTTCTTGCAGGAATAAATGCAGCAGCAGCAAAGGCAATAGCTGTAACAGCAGCAGCAGCAACAACAACAGCAGCAGCAACAACAGCAGCAGCAGCAACAACTGCAGCAGCAACTGCAACAGCAGCAGCAGCAGCAGCATACAGGAAGGTTCAATGAATTCTGTGTAGAAATCATCAAAGAGCATCAGACGTTGAGTCCATCCCTCTTCTGCATAAGAACTACCTGCAGCAGCAGCAGCAGCAGCAGCAGCAGCAGCAGCAGCAGCAGCAGCAGCAGTCTCCTTTAGATAAAGAAGATAAAAGGAGACAACAAAAAGGAGACAAAAAAGGAGACAAAAAAAGGAGACAGAAAAAGGAGACAAAAAAAGGAGACAAAAAAGGAGACAAAAAAAAGGAGACAAAAAAAGGAGACAAAAAAAAGGAGACAAAAAAAAGGAGACAAAAAAAGGAGAAAAAAAAGGAGAAAAAAAGAGGAGAAAATAGTTTGCTTTTTTTTTGTTACCTATTTCTATAGGGACTAATCGATGACCAAATTGTTTTCTTAATCGTCGCCAATCTCTCCATAAATTTACACACGGGAATTCCGATATACCTCCTATACGTAAACCCTAAACCCTAAACCCTAAACCCTAAACCCTAAACCCTAAACCCTAAACCCTAGAAAATAAAAAATAAAAAATTAATAGTAGATAATAAAAAATAAATAATAAACAATAATCCCTCTATAAGTAAAAAAGCAAGAAACATTGGAGGCATATAGTATACATAAACCCTAAACCCTAAACCCTAAACCCTAAACCCTAAACCCTTACGAGTATTACCTCTAATAAGGAGTGGTTTATCCTTTTGTAGGTAATTCACAAGAAAATCCTCAAATCCAATGGCTGCATACACAACAAAACCCTAAACCCTAAACCCTAAACCCTAATGTGGGAGTCTCTGCACAACATTGCCTTCCTCTGCGAACGCTTTTAGGGTTTAGGGTTTAGGGTTTAGGGTTTAGTACATGTTCTTTCCTCTACGGGGGACCGTCGTCTATTGATAGGAACAAGAGGCTCTAAGGAGACACTTGGAGTGTTGTCCCTCTGCTGCTGCTGCTGCTGCTGCTGCTGCTGTTCCTCCTCCTCCTCCTCCTCTTCTTGCTCCTCCTCCCCCTCTTCCTCCTCTTCCTGCTGCAGCAGCAGCAGCAACCTCTCTCTAATAACGTCGAAAGCAGCAGCTGCTGCTGTCAGTCGTTTATAAACCCTAATTTTGGGTCCCCCCATGATTAGTCCTGCACGCAAACCCTAAACCCTAAACCCTAGACCCTAAACCCTAAACCCTAAACCCCAAACCCTAAACCCTAAACCCTAGAAGTAAGAAATGATTTCTTACCCAAGTCAATATAACGAAAGGCAAAAATAAATGCCTTCTCTGCTGTCTCTACAAAGTCTTCTTGTGCTGCTGCTGCATCTGCTGCTGCATCTGCTGCTGCTGCTGCTGCTGCTGCAGCAGGATTTTCTGCTGCTGCTGCTGCTGCTGCTCCACTAGCAGCATAACTTAGACCAAGAAGGAGACAAGCAACACCATGAGCCTCACGACACCAAAGAGGGACAGACTCCCAATGACCAGTATGTAACCTATACACAAACCCTAAACCCTAAACCCTAAACCCTAAACCCTAAACCCTAAATGGTGTAGTGTATTTTTCTAGGGAATTATTATATGATATTTAGGGTTTAGGGTTTAGGGTTTAGATAGTAAGGAGTAGCAACTATAGATGTGAATATGGCCTAACTAAACCCTCAACAGGGGCCCTTCTCCCTGCTACCCCCCTTCTAGGGTTTAGGGTTTAGGGTTTAGGGTTTAGGGTTTAGGGTTTACCGTCTCCAGGAGGCCTCATGTAGATCAATAGCAGCCTTATGTAGTGCCTCTAGTGTCTCCTTTTCTTCCTGTAGGGAAGAATAGCCAAGGGAGACAAACAAGGAGACAGGAGACACAGATATATCCTTTGTGCTATTAGGAAGGAGACTCTCTAAGCTGCTGCTGCTGCTGCTGCTGCTGCTGCTGCTGCTGCTGCTGCTGCTGCTGTTGCTGCTGCTGCTGTTGCTGTTGCTGCTGCTGCTGCTTGTCTGCTGCTCGGTACCCCATGAGATTCCTTCTTGTGTAAGTGTTGCTTCTGCTGCTGCTGGTTGCTGCAGCAGCAAACAGTGCCCCTCTTTTGCTGCTGCATGCAGCAACTTAAGGAGGCCCCCCTCCTTAATAACAGGTATGGGGCCCCCCAGCAACTTGCATGCAGCAGCAAAACAATTCCATAAGGAACAGCGCTCAGTACCGCTGCACTCGGGGCCCCCTAAGCAGCAGCAACAGCAGCAGCAGCAGCAGCAGCAGCAGCAGCAAACATACGCACAGCAGCAAAGTATGGGAGAAAAAGCAGTCGCGACTACAGCAGCAAAAGCAGCAGCAGCAACAACAACAAAAGCAGCAACAATAACAGCAACACCACCAGCAACAGCAAGAGCAGCAGCAGCAGCAGCAGCAGCAGCAGCAGCAGTACCTTCAATAATATCATCAGCAATAGCCTGTAGCTCCTGAGGGTTTACTTGGCACTCTTTGCATAAAACCCTAAAATTATCTATTATACCCATTGGTAGAGGGGGCCCCCCATGGGGCCCCCCCGGGGGGCCCCCTACTTCTTTATTAGGGGGCCCCCCATCAGGAAGGGGATCAGACTCCATGGGGCAACACAAAAGGGTTTGCTGCTGCTGCTGCTGTTGTTGCTGTTGGTGTTGTTGCTGCTGCTGCTGCTGCTGTTGCTGCTGCTGCTGACAGAGGCCCCTTTACACATTCAGGGGACCCCTGGAAGGCCGCAACGAACAACACAGATAGCAGCAAATGCAGCAGCAGCAGCAGCAGCAGCAGCAGCAGAAGCAAAGGTTGCTGCTGCAGCTGCAGCAGCAGCAGTAGCTGTGAAGGGAAGATCAGGCAAATAACTGGATCTTCTATGGTGAGCACCAAAAAAAAGATGCTTCTGCTGTAGCAGCAGCAGCAACAGCAGCAGGAGCAGCAGGAGCTGCTGCAGCTGCCGCAGGGGGCCCCTGGGTACCTAGAAGAGGCACGGAGGCAGTGGTAGGAGAGAAGGAGCCCACAGAAGCAGCAAGATAGGGTAGGGGCCTCGTTAATATTGCTCTAAGGGGGCCCCCTAAGGGTTCAAATATTGAAGGGGCCCCCTAGGGCACAGATCTAAAGGGGGCCCCTAGAGTACAGATCTAATGGGGGCCCCCTAGGGTACAGATACAGTCAATACCTTCTGCTGCTGCTGCTGCTCCCCTTTTAATTGTATATTTTAACAATATAACAAACAATTACCACACAGGGACCCCTACAGGGGCCCCAGTCAGAGGGGCCCCCAAGGGGGCCCCCTTTGGGGGCCCCTCTAGAGGGTCCTTCCGGGGGGCCCCACAGGGCCCCACAGAAATATATATTTTCCCTTTTATGCTAATAAATTAAATTATTTATTAAATATAAATAAATTAATACTTTCTTCTTTATAACTTTGCTGCTGCAGCAAACCCTAGGGGGCCCCCTTCGTGCTGCTGCCTGAGGAGGGGCCCCCTTGTAGGAAGGAAGGGTCAAGGAGGATCTGGTGCTGCAGCACAGCGAAACAGCAGCAGCAATTGCAGCAGCAACGGCTGCATCGACAGCAGCAACAACAACAGCAGCAACAGCAACAGCAGCAGCAGCAGCAGCACTACTAAGGGCCCCATGGGGCCCCTCTATAGGTATAGAGAATGCCGGTTAGTTGAGGGGGCCCTTCTCTTTCTTCTTGGGGGCCTCTGTGGTTTTGCTGCAGCATCTCCTGCAGCAGCAGCAGCAGCAGCTGCTGCTGCTGCTGCTCTTGCCAGGAAGCTGCTGCAGCAAACTAGGGCTCTGAACTTACTTGGCAGCGGCAGGAACACCACCGACAGCAGCAGCAGCAGCAGCAGCAACAGCAGCAGCAGCAGCAGCAATGATTTTAAGCCCCTCTTTGTAGATGCAGCAGCGTTGCTGCAGCAAACCCCCGCTCTCTTCCGCCTCTCTGCAGCTGCAGCAGCAGCAGCACCAGGAGGAGGAGGAGCAGCAGCAGCAGCAGGAGCAGCAGGAGCAGCAGGAGAAGCAGCAGGAGCAGGAAGTCTTTTTTATAAATGTTTGCTGTCTGCTAGACAGATAAGGAGACACGGGAGACAAATGCTGCTGCCCTCTTGGGGTGTATCTGCAGCAGCAGCAGCAGCAGCAACAAGGGTACTCCTTGTAGGAGGGGGGGGCCTCGGGGGCCCCATTGCCCTTTATCTTGTAGGAGCAGGAATAGGTTAGTTATTGCTGCTGCTGCTACTCTTGCTGTTGCTACTGGTACTGCTGCTGCTGCTCGTGCTGCAGTTGTGCTATCTGCATCTGCTGCTGCTGCTGTTGCTGCTGCTGCTGCTGTTGCTGCAGGGCACCTGACGATAGTTGATGGAGACACTGTTGATGATACAAACCTTCATAGGTGAGCCCATCATCGCATTGCTGCTTCTGCTGCTGTTGCTGCTGCTGCTGCAGTACTTGCTGCTGTTGCTGCTGCTACACCTGTTGCACCATTCCTGCTGCTGCTGTTGCTGTTGCTGTTGCTGCTGCTGCAGGCAGGTATTCTTTAGGGAGACAGATGTGGGGCGCAGCAAGAGTAAGGCCCTTGCTCGTGCCTGTAAGGAGCTAGACTCACAGGTGAGCAGCAGCAGCACCAGCAGCAACAGCAGCAGCAGCAGCAGCAGCAGACGGAGCAGCAGCAGCAGCAGCAGCAGCAGCAGATGATGTCCTAAGACTGCCGTGGCATATCATACCATAGCTTCTGCTGCTGCTGCAAAATCTCTGCTGCAGCCTCTTTTGCTTCTGCTGCATCTCCTGCTGCTGCTGCTGTTGCTGCTGCTGTTGCTGCTGCTGCTGCTGCTGCTGCTGCAGGCATCAGTAGAGGGAATAGATGCATATATAGATGATGAATTAGCTAATCATCTTATACCTAATCATCATATTGTTGTTGATGCTACAGATAATAAAGAAACTAGGTACCTGCTGCTGCTGCTGCTGCTGCTGCTGCTGTTGCTGTTGCTGCTGTTGCTGCTGCTGCTGTTGTTGTTGCTGCTGCTGCAGTTGATGCTGCTGCCGCTGCTCTTTTTGTTGTTTTTTTTGCTTGTTGCTTCTTACGATGGGTATTTGAGGGATTAGGTGCCGGCACGCCATATACACTGCTGCTGCTGCTGCTGCTGCTGCTGCTGCTGCTGCTATTGCTGCTGCTGCTGCTGCTGCTGCTGCAGGTATTTATTAAATGACGCTTGTGTCTTATATAATAGACCATTGGTCTGCGGCAGTGCCCTCAAGCAAGAAGGGCAACTCTTTGTATATAATAGTAAGGGGGGCCCCTGTTATAGG